CACTTTCGTCGCAAAAATTGAGAAAAACATAGATACACCTGTTCTTGTATAAGACCGTACTATTCATGTGCTTGATAAAAACTTCTGAAATTTTGTCCTCGATAGCACAATTAACGAATAACGATGCCTGAAAAAACCAGGAGTTGAAATTCTTTCAACTTGAAATAAAAACTCGATTTATTAGAAAAAATTATATATTTTTTCAAAAAGAAGTAAAAAAATTAGGATAAAAAACCATCCGTATTTTGAGGATTTCTCTTCAGAAATATATCCAATTGAGCTGAAAATTTCAGAAAATACATAACTCATTGCCTCCCACAACCTATCCAAAAATCAGTCGATTCTGCGATATCACTCCATCGTCGATGTCTGAGCCTCTCAGAAATTCACTCTTAAGTAGTTTTAAAATGTTTGACCATTTTGTCAGAAACTTGGTCTAATACAGATTTGCAATACTTACTTGTATATTTTCAAAACATGTTAAAAGATAGAATCAATGGTCTCATTCAAGTCATCTAATGAGACATTCAGTCAGATCGAAATAATTATCATGGGAACTACCTCTTTCTCCATCCTCATGAACTCACAAGGGAACATTTCCAAGTGTCCGAGCGCTTTTGAGTGGAGAGTTAGTGCATCTTGTAGACCTTAGTGAACTATGTTTACCATAAAAAAAGTTCGTGCTTATGGTTTCTTTCTGAGGAGATCGAACGTTTTTACTATAACAGCTATAAGAGTCATCTTATCAAGAAAAAATCACGATATCAATCAACCAATATAAGTTAAAACGTGTTGAAATTTTTCTCACATATAATTATACTCATGTGTAAGATCATGTGACATTATGAGTACAAAAGAGCCTAGAAAAGTAGAGCTATCGGTTTCAGAAAATGTTAACGTTGTGCTGAATGTCAATTATTATGCTACTTCTTAGAATTACGAGATATATGGTTGAAAGTTTTAGTATATTGAGTATTTATGTCGCAATACAATTTTGAATGCTTGATAATTGTGGTTTGCTACGATAATATATTCATTTTTTCTTAGATTTTGATAACAGCAAAGTGCACCGATAGCGTTATCTACTGAGTGAAAAAGTCAACAACGATAACATTTTCTGAAATCGATAGCTCTACTTTTCTAAGCTCTTTTGTGCTCGTAATCTCACATGATCTTGCACATGAGTGCGACTATATATGAGAACGATTTCAACTCGTTTTAACTTATATTGGTTGATATCGTGCTTTTTTCTTGATAAGATGACTCTTATAGCTGTTATAGTAAAACCGTTCGATCTCCTCAGAAATAAGCCATGAGCACGAATTTTTTTATGGTAAACATAGTTCACTAAGGTCTACAAGATGCACTAACTCTCGACTCAAAAGCGCTCGGACACTTGGGAATGTTCTCTTGTCATTCTTTCCCAACGATCTTTCACGTTGAGCAACGCTCATGTTCACTGATATCTATATGTGACACGGACAAGAAAAACAAATGTACATTACTTTCTCACGTTCTATTGATCAAACGATTAGCAGACACAGTGGGCAAGTCAAATACCGCTGAAGCGTAATTTTCATGAAGTTGAAATCGAGCTATCTTGTGTTTCATAGTGCTAAAAACGCTCTCTGCTTCACTTGAAATGTTAACAGTAAAGAGATTCAACTTTAACCATTATCATTAGTAATCATTTGAACCTTTATTTCTACACATCTAACGGAGAAGAGAGAATGGTTTCTCAAGAACAAAATACACAAACGGATCGATCCCTCTTTGTACCTCATCAGTTATTTGGTTTGAAACTCAGAGATGGTCTCAAGTTTATTTCCACTTTACTACTGCCGCTCGCATTAGGTGTCTTTACTGTTGTCATCACTTTTCAGCAACAGAATGCAGCTAAACAACAACGTGACGAAGATCGAATGGCATCTCAACTGCAACGTAATGAAGATCGAAATGCAGCCCAGCTGCAACGTGAACAGGACAGAAACCTGAATGATGAAAGATATAAAAACGAACTTTTCGATACTTATATTAAGGAAATGGGTAGACTGTTAGAGAAGAACAACGGATCATTAACCTCTAATGAAGTCGCAGCTACGCTTGCTCGAGTTAAAACTCTGAATATTTTTCGTCAACTAGACGCACACCATAATATTCGCATTATTCGATTTCTCTACGAAGCCAAACAACTTACTGAAATACACAAAAGTTCTTCACTGGATCTTTCAACAGCAGAACTTCGAGATATGGATTTTCGTAATTTATCAATCAATAAAAAGAAATTGAACAACTTATCATTGACTGGTATCTTTCTATCGAATGCCACATTTATAGGCATTGAGATGAAGCACATCAATTTCGCTAATACTGAGTTTAACGTGGTTAATTTTTCATCTGGGAGACTTGACAATGCCAATTTTTCATTTGCTAGTTTCGATAATGCTAACTTTTCACCCACTCAACTCGATACGGTTAACTTTTCATCGACCAAACTTGACAATATCAACTTTTCGTCTACCCGGCTCAAAAATATCGACTTTACGTTCGCTACACTCAAGAATATCGATTTTTCATCCGCCACACTAAAACATGTTAACTTTTCGTACTCTTCGCTCTTTAACTGCAACTTTTCATTTTCTCTCTTGTCCAATATCGACTTCTCATTCGCTCGGCTGGACGGTGTCATATTTTCATCGACTACGCTCTATGATGCTCACTTTTTGGAGGCTTCGTTCTTCAATACTGACCTATCATTAGCCCGACTCGATACTATTCAATTTTTGTCGGCACAGTTCGACCACACAAACTTTTCATTGGCTTTGCTCTTTAATGTCACATTCTCATTTTCTCTGCTCGACAATGTCAACTTTGTATCGGCCGAGCTCCATCATGTTAGCTTTTCATTTGCTGAGTTCAAATATGCTAATTTTTCATCCGCTATTTTAGGTAATGTTCACAATAGTTTTGCTCTTTTTTTTTCATGAAATCTATTTTTCTATTGCCATTTAGTTTCCGCCGATTTCTCTCATACCAAAGCATCTTACACGAATTTTCAACAAACGACTTGTGTTGCAGCTCGTTTCTATGAAGCTACCTTATCTTATTCCAACTTTTGGCACTCAAACGTTAAGCGTGCTTCGTTCGAACAAGCTGACTTGACCAACGTTAGTTTCCTCCATGCCAATCTGTACAAGGCTGATTTTAGTTTCACTCATGTTACAGATAGTCAACTCGAGAGTGCTCTCTCAATTCAAGATGCTCTACTACCCAACAAAACATTTGCTAATGATACGAACTTGATTAACAATGGCCAAGCTGTTTGCAATATTTCTTCTGTCAACAGTTGGATATTACAAATTGGCAATGTCACTACGATGATACCAGATAAGAATATGAGTAACTGCCACTTCGTTTTGCAATCATATAATACGGGAGCTACTATGTTACAACGCGTCAATCTATCAAACAAGTGGAACTCGAATTCTTGGCCATATTCTCAAGCCGTATTGAGTGCAAGTATGAGCATCGGTGTATCCATCCAATTGAGAGGAACCAGTAATATCGGACACATCCATGCTCAGAAAAAATTAAGTAAGTTTCAGTATACTAGCGCCGACTACGGTTCATCTTTTGTATACAGGTTCGACTAAAGACAATATCAGTCTGGCTTTGGATGATGATATGCGAGAACTCGAAGTGCTCATTGAGTTTAGTGCGCTCAGCAATCATAGCAATCAGACAAATTACTGGTGTGATGACATCAAGCTCTTCATCGTCTATGGCACATATTTAGAATTTTTACGAGGTAAGTGTGTAGCGAGACATTGTCTGAGGAGAACTCAGCATCTGCAGGCGTAAGACTGGTGAGCATTTCAATTCAGATTGTTTCACTGATGAAAAAAAGATTCTTCATGTCGCGAAGAACTCACTCCATACTCCCTTTGAGACACTTTTGAAGTGCACGAAACCCATCCTAGCTTTTAACTATCTATCTCCTAAATCATTCCTGGCGTGGAGTCTTTGTAAAACACTGTTGTTCGTGAGTGTTGAATTATATAGTGTGGAATACAAACTGGAACGACCAGTCTGCCCCATAAATTGTGGTAGACATGATGTTATGGCATTCTGATTGCACCACAGACTATGATGGGCATTTCAAAATGCTACTTCTTCAGCTCCATCGCAGACTCTGAAATAGTGTGCCGGAAATCTTGTTTACAAGTAACGCGGTACCATCTTCTTTCACATCTTAACCCCTTCACCGTTATTGACGTATATATACGTCAAAGCAATCTTTATGGAAAAAATGACAACTACAATTCCTTAACTTTGTTTTCTTTGTATGCTCTGCGTCGACTCTAACATCCTACACTGGTTTGAGCTCTCTCTACTGGTTCTGATGTTTCATGTCGGCTATGTTCCTCTGTGTCAGTTATATCATTATTTTTTGCAAAAAGTTTATTATTTAGCTTTAAAAAAATTTAACGGTGAAGGCGTTAATCGCGTAGAGATTGAACTGAAAGCTTTTTTTATCTGGAATAACATTTTTACTGAGCTAAGGGCTACCAAAACATGTGTACATTTGACATCGTGTTCATCCTCCTATGAAAATCGTTAGTAAAAGCCCACTTTTTTGCCGAATGAGTCAAAAGCTATATGCTTGTATAAAGTGAGCACAAATGAACTTTGTCTGATCCCTTATTTCGACCATATCTATTATCCTATTTTTTTCCACCTAGAAGAGATCATGCAGAACCGCAATTGCATCACAAGACTTAGCAACTTTATACTAAAGCATTAAAATCAGTTCCGATTTGGTCTATATAAATTTTCAGAGGATTTTTTACTTTGTCCATGAATCTTTTCGGTCCTAGTACGCTCTCGAAATATGTAGAGCAAATTTTCCCAGAGTAGTGATCGTGCCCGTGGCTGGAACTTGATCACGGGCAGTCACGAGTACTCAAATCGTTACATATCTGTGTCTGTGTTAACTACATTAGTTTTTCTGTAACACAAATAATTCTATATATTTAACTTATTTCTATAATTTACTGATTTTTTTTTCTTAATCGAAATTGCTATATATAAATGTTACTGGAGAGATAAGAACTCAGGAAAATTTAAAATTTTTCTGAACTCTAATTTCTTCTGCAACTAGTGTTCTGTCGGAATATTTTTTCCCCGTTGTTTTCGTACCGTTTCCCGCGAGATTCGGGAACACAAGCAATATTAAAAAAATGGACGTTCACGAAAATCGTTTTGTTGTCTGTATATACTCTACAAACTTTGCTCTTTCAAACAAAAAAATTGTCGAAGTCAATCAGATGTTCTATTATTGAGAAATAGATTTCGACATTCTTCGCAAGACCTTTGCATCGCTTATTAACCCTTTGAGGACGGGTGGTACACCATATATACCACAGTCTTTTTTTTGAACAGTGATATATATTATGCAGTGACGATCAGAAATAGTTGCGTATACGTTAGAGTATGCTTATTGTAGTGATATACAGAATGTGGGTGTGGACGCAGAGATCACTCCACACCCACATCCACACACTCACACCTTTGTTTGGTCCAAAAAGATAATCCCGTCCCTCAAACGGTTAAAAAACGAAAAATTTTGCAGTTTTACTAAATTTGGTGATCTTCACTTTTTCAATATTTTATAGACGAAAATGAATTCGAATTCTATATTCTTGTTCTCCAGGCTATGGCGTATTTGCTCATATATAGTTGTTTACTTTTTATTGACCCAGTAAAAGTTCTTCCTTGTCTATACTATTGATCTACGGCAAGCAATAGTGTGTCAAACTCAGTACCAGAAAAATATGAATCTCACGGTTGTACGATTTAGTAGACATTTTATAACAGATTTTACTCGATCACACTGCATACTTGAAATTCAAAACAGGGAAGATCACCCAATTTAGTAAAATTGCAAAATTTTTCGTTTTTTAATGGATTATAGTAATTTCCAGTTGAACCTGTGCACCACATATCTCCCTAAGAAGACAGTATTGTAAATAAATTTTTCTAAAAGCAGATACACATCGTTGAGCTCTATAAAATACAATAACTTTCGATCGATTTCGTAGAGTTCATGCATTTTTGTGATAAAAATCCTATGAAATAATCCTTAACTGTGAATAGCTTAAAATTCGAGTATCTCGGTTTAGGCACGCCATAAGGATGTCATATTTTAAATTTGTTAGTTTGGCAGTGATATCTTTAATTTGACCCGAATATGTTCAATGTCCTTGAATTACAGCACACACACTTCCATTGTAAGATCCTAGTATAATGGTTTGGAGTTCATTTTTACCAGAACCTATCACAGTTTTGTCGAACTCTTTCTAGCTATTCCAGTAAGAACTACACTTTCTAAATTACACATAAAATTCACATATCTCAATTGTTTTCTATGCAGAGACTCGATAGGATCAGCATTGATCTACTTAGTATCTCAAATGCAGAAGATATCACATTCCAAAGATGCACTTGAAATCCTGTCAAGGTTACTCAGTTTCGCTTGCATACAAACCTTCTTATGATCTTAGTAAGATTCTATCAAAATACTGATCCTTAAGATTTCCCAAAAACATAGCAATTACGTTTGACATTTGTTGTTCAACATCCTCCTAACAAGATGCCAATAGAATCTTCTTAGGATTTTTTCAGTTTAGGA